CCCGCAGGCTGCAGCTCCTGCTGCTTTGCACGCTCCTCCCCGGCCTGGCTCTGGGGCAGTGGCTGGGAAAGGGGTCTCATGGGGATGTAACCCCCACCTGGACTTCCAGCGACTCACCGCCTGGCCCCTCTGCAGGCCCACCGCCTTGCCTGGCTCCAGGCACTTACTGGACTCACTCCCCATAAAGTTGCATGGGGGGACATCCTGCAGTAGCACAGGCCTCCAGAGGGTCACCCCACTGCCGCTGCCTGGGCCCCTCCTCTTGGGAAAGGGGTCTCATGGGGATGTAACCCCCACCTGGACTTCCAGCGACTCACCGCCTGGCCCCTCTGCAGGCCCACCGCCTTGCCTGGCTCCAGGCACTTACTGGACTCACTCCCCATAAAGTTGCATGGGGGGACATCCTGCAGTAGCACAGGCCTCCAGAGGGTCACCCCACTGCCGCTGCCTGGGCCCCTCCTCTTGGGCTCTGGATGGGAGGCGGGGCCGTCCTGCACCTGGACTTCCAGCGACTCACCGCCTGGCCCCTCTGCAGGCCCACCGCCTTGCCTGGCTCCAGGCACTTACTGGACTCACTCCCCATAAAGTTGCATGGGGGGACATCCTGCAGTAGCACAGGCCTCCAGAGGGTCACCCCACTGCCGCTGCCTGGGCCCCTCCTCTTGGGCTCTGGATGGGAGGCGGGGCCGTCCTGCCCGGGGAGGGAGTATCTCCCTTGGGGAGCCATTATTTTAGCCTCTTCCCGTCGCCCGACCTCCGGTCCTGTCACTTGGATCCCGTCACGATTTCGAAGTGGCTCGGTCCGGGGCTCCATTGGTCACACAGGAGCGTGGGCAATCCCAGAGCACGCCAGAGCAGACTCCAGCCGGGACCCCCCGCCGTCTGCACCTCTCCTGGGCGCCTGGCACTGCCAGCCAAGTGGCGAAGCTCTCATGCTTCGGGCAGAGTCCACACGCGCCTCTCTCCAGCTGGAGTCAGGGCCAAGCGCGGGGGAGGGGGTGTCCTAACGGCCACTCTGGGCTTGGACAGCTTAAAGTCACCCCCAAAGCAGCGGTGAGCCAGAAACATGCAAAGTGCGATCCCCCCGTACAACATGCAGCAGCAGGAGCAGCGTTCAGGCTGGTCGAAGCCCCGCAGTGCAAGGGGGTTTTGAGAGGAGAACTTGGGATCCCCTGGTCTTTTCCAGATCCAGTGTTGTGTTAAGGGCCCTTCCCTTGCAGGGGGCAGCTCTGGTCTGAGACAGGACCACACGAGAGCGGCGCCTTCTCGCCCCGTCGGCTCCCAAGTCTCCAAGCTGCTGCCGTCAGCAAAACGCAAGCGTTCCCTGTGAGCCCCGTGGAGCCAGCTCAGGGGGAGGCGGTGGGGCTGGCTCAGTCCACGTCCGATCGGTTCTATGGGCATGACAGCCCTGTCGGCAGAGCCTGGCTGGGGACTGCCCCTGGCACCCCCGCTTGGCTCTCAGAACCAGCCCGCCATTTGCACGTGGGATAGGAAGCGAATGAGACGCAGGCAAACAGGGAAACTCACCGCCCCAGCGAACCCAAACCGAGCAAGAACGCACCTTCAGGAGGAGGGCTTGCTTTGCTCAGCGACTCCTTACTGGCTTGGGAATTCTGCTGTAGCCAAAGCGCGACTGCCCCCTTTCTCAGAGCCCCACCTCCTCCCGCCACGCCAGGGGCTGCAGATGTCTGTGAGGCAGGGGGCTGGGAGGGACGTCAGCTGCTCTGTTCCAGCCGCCGGGGTAGATAATACAGCGCCTTGGCTTCCGAGGAGACATTAACTTGCCTTGAAATCACCCCCAGCCAGGTCAGTCCCATCTCTCCCTGCTTTGCACAGCGGCACAGGGAGACTTGTGCAAAGAGCGTGCGGATTGCTGGGTTAGTCACAGGAGGGCTCAGGAAAACCGGATTCTAACTGCGGCACCAACTCCATGCCGCATGCCTGTGCCTTGGCCTTCTCCCTGTGGAAGGCGGCTAATGGTATTCACAGGCCCCTTGGGAAGGCCAGAGTGGGGCCATAGACGGGGGATGGGACTCCTAGCTCCTAACCCACTCCAGGAAAATGGCCTCCGGTTCCCTGTTCTTGGGCCATGCCCACATACAGCACTTTGGGGACCTCCCCGTGGCTTGGCGAGCCCCCCCAGTTCACCCTGCCCACACCTGCGCAGCCAGCGCCTCTGATGACTCAGCCACTGGTCTGAACACGGCCGCGCTGGCAGGAGAAAGAGGTGCCGCAGGTGAAGCAGCTGCGAGAGGCAGCTCTGTTTGGCACAGAGGGAAACTCTAGCTGGCGAATGGGAGAGGAGAAAATTGCTTCAGAGACCCAATGTTCCTTCTAGCTCTGCCGAGTTCTCCGGGCGGCGGAGTCAGAAATTCAGAGCAGTGCAGGGAGAGAAGCGTGACAGGCCCCTTTCAAACCTTTCCAAGCAGATGCGCCAGATAAGAGGCTTCCCAAACAAATAGTTATTACTGTCTGAGACGATAAAACGAAGAGCAAAGATGTTGTTTCAGAGAACGGCATCTGTCCCGAGAGGAGCTGTTAACCCGATGCACAAGACACACTGGCTGGCTGAAATTATCCAGACTGCCCACAGCTCCTGCCAGCCCCACGGGGACTAGCCACACGCTTCCAGCTCCGCTCACCGTGTCTATGCACCCATCCCTCACTGCTCCATACACGGACCTTCCCCTACCCCCATCCACAGCATGCACCCGGCCCAGTCACACTGCCAAGGTAACACAGGCCTAATCTGTATGAGAATGGCCTTACACAGAACCTGCTTTCCAAATGCACCACCCCCTGGCTCTTTCGGGACCTCGTTGTAGCACCAGATCTGTTGCTGAAGGAGTCCAGCCAGGTCACGGATGCAGCAGGGGACCCTTTGCCAAAGTGCAAGACACCCCCCAAGAAGCCAGCCCGAGACGCTGAAGAGATAAACATGGGAAAACCGTCTTCCCCTCGTTGCAAGGAGGGGAACGGCGAAGCAAGGTGCTTCAGACTGTCCAGTAGGGGGCCTCTTGGGCGCCCGGAGAAGGTCTGCCGGCAGGAGACAGAGCAAATCCAACCGGTGTCCTGAACCACACAGCATAGCCCTGGCAGCCACGTCAATGGCCTAGGGCAGGGACCCACGGCCTCTGTCGCTGAGGTGCAAGCTCAGTCCCTGTCTCAGACACCTGGGGGTCTCTCCTCACGGGAAGGAGCCTCCTGCCCTGAGCACAAAAACAAGTAAGAAGTTTTGGGGATCACTCGTTTCCTGTGGGAACTGGGCTCCGCGGGGCCATGGCCCAGCCACGTGCTGGGCCCCCAGGAAAGCTGCCATAAGGGGTAGAGCCTGACAGCCAGGAGAGGGGAGGTTTGCCACTGTGGTGGCCTGCTCAGTTCATGCCCCCGTCTCTGCAAGTTGCTCTGATCTGCCGAGCCGAGCCTGCTGTGACGCCTGCCCGACCTGCTCTCCAGCCTTCCTCTGACATGTAAATCCTGTGATGCCCTTCGGCTCTCACGCCCCTCCCCCTCGGTGCCCCGGTTCCAGAGGGCAGCTCTTTCCTGACTTGCAGCACACAGTGTCCTCCCCCTTCCCATTCTGCATTCTGGGGAGTGCCACTTCAGAACAAGCCATGCATCAGCCGGGGCCCCTCGAGGGCCTTCTGGAACCCAGCAGCGAGGCCAAGGGGCCATTTTGTGTCACCCTCCTAGAGAGGAGCTGCAGAGGCCTGTGACTGCAGATGTGCGATTGCCACAGTCAGTGGGAGGAGACGTTCCATGGCCAGCAACGCCCGGCCAGCATCAGGA